ATCTTCAAAATCAACAGTAACCAGCCGATTGGTGGCAGTACTTTCACTTCAGCGTCAGAATAGAGGTGTTGTATCAAATTTGCTGCCTTGCAGGCTGTACAGAATGATGTCCCCGCTAACCTGCTAGCTTTATAACTAGACTGGTCAAAAACAAATAAACTGCTGTCTCTCACTTGACTGTGTACATTCTGCTTATGTATTTGAAGACATAAACATTCCATTGTGTTATTCAGGTAGCATTGAAAAAATATCCACCACCTTCCATGTAGTTTTTTTTAAGCTCCATTAAAAAGAGAAAAAATATATGTGTTTCTAATACGACGTTCAGTCTTCCACCCCATTGAAGTTGTTGTATCTCTCTAAAAACTGGACAGAACAGACAGCAGTGTGTTCCCAGCGTGTCCTCCATCCCTCCACATTTAAAATGGCCTAAATGGTCTTTGTTTAATAGTGCGTGAAAGCGAGTCACAAGATTTTCTGCACATGGAAAATTTTCCCACCCAGCTCGCTCCGGCTGAGCCTGGATTACAGCCGGATGATTGTAGCCTGCAGCGGTGTTGTCTTGGTTTGCTGTAATGTTACACCAGCAGAGTCCACACAATAAATATTCTACATGTAAATCCCAGTGTTTACATATGTGAGGTCATTTTAGAAAATCAGTTCAGGCCCTGTTTCTCTGTGGTTGTCTGTGACGTTGCGCTAAGAGGCGGAACCTTTTTGAAACTGCATTGAGCTTGTAATAATGGGACAACAAACCAGCACCATTGTGTTTAGATGATTAAAGTTTAAACTGTGATCCACGTCTTTATTTTTTTAATGTCCTCTATATTTTTAATTGTGCTGCTGATGAGCACCGTTTTTATTGCTGTCCACTATTGTTGTCAGGTATACAGGTAGGCTCAAAATGATTAATGTATAGATGTATGTTTTATGTTTTTGTTGAGGTCTTTATATGCTACTGGATACTTGAATTTCCCTGGGTATTTTACGACTATCTGTTGATTAATTGTTTGATTGATAATCAGCCATCAAAGGAGACATTGGCATCTCATTCAGGCACTGGAGCAACAAGCTCCGCCTATTTGGGAGCGTCTATATATGCTGTGTTTTGGGGAAATTGCAGTAGGATTTCCTGAACTGGAAATTACATTCAACACATTGGAAAGGTCTTCTCACCATCACCATAATCTTGATTCTCTTTCCCAATAAAGTCGGTGCTCTGACTCAGCACCGACTTAAATTATTGTTGTGATAACTCGCTGATTGCGTTGTCTGCTTACCTCTGATGAACTTTCAGACTTTTGTCCGTTGATGATGAGTCTTATGTGTGACAGTCCCTTCAGTGACTGAAGTTACAGTTCTGCTTTCATACAGCAAGTATCCCTTAGGTTTACTTGTGGTGGCAGTCTGATGGGGCTGTGCAGTCCCTAACTAACCCATGGGTTCAGTGCCACAATGCTCCATTATAGCCTTTGGATTAAGGCTGTAATCAAACACTAACCCCTCTTCAACAACCAGAGGCTGAATCAAACAGCTTGCGTACAATTCCACCATTATTTTCCTGGACCTACCCTTCCTTCCCTCTTCTATTTTTAAACCTGGCTATAAAGTGAAGAGCAAACAGTTAAATAACTCTTTTTTGTGGGGGTTAACAGCAAGATTCCCTGTTTTTACTCTCCCTCAAAACTCAGCTGACACTCTCAAAAGAAATCTTACTGACTTATAAAAAGGAGTGAGTAAAATGTCTATTCATCAGTGCATTTCAAACATTTTTTTCCCAATTAAATATCAGTTTTGAAAACCCAGTGAATCGACTGTTACCACGGTGAGCATCACTACGGAAAGCCGCGCGTACTGTACGGGGACGCTTGAGATTTCATTGCAGAGCATTTCACTTTCCTACATTTCCCACAAAAGGGGACAAAGAGGGACAGAAAATTTGATTTGCACCGAGTGCCCATTGTACACCTGTCAGTGGCACATTCTTCTTGAGTTTACTGCTGGATGGCAAAAAGCTATTTGATATACATTACCATAACCTATTGGTGAGGAGTGTGGCGCTCCCCTATACTGCTCAAATATGCTTAAAAAATTACATTTCAAAAATGTGAAAATATCAGTTTTCACAAAGAGAATTATTTAAGTTTACATAAAATTAAATTTTCATACAATACTGTCTTGTTCTGACTGTCATGTATTGTTCTACTGTTTTATTTTCAGATATTTTACCACAAAAATGTTAATGCATACTCTGTAGTAATGTATACCACCATGGTTGTTTATATGGGCAGGAAAAATCATTTTAAAAAAGTAAAACATCAAATCTCTGATAAAAATTCTGACTTTGAAATATTTTAGGGACATTTTTGCTTTTGTTTGTTTGTAAAGCTTGGGAAAGAAGAAGACGAGCGCTGTGTCCTGGTTGAGTTTAAAGATGTAATGTTATTTTTGTGGAGCTGGTGTTTTGTATGAGGCCATTTTGTTTTGTGCACTTTGTATGTGGAGTGTCATAAGCTCACCATATATGTACCACCATGTCCTTCGCTAAAAATTTTTTTCCAACAAAATGAAATGCACCATATTTCAAAGATAAGTGCTGTTATTGAAGTCTGCATATACAGGCATGTAATACAAGAAAACCTGTGGATTCTTGGGCATTCTTTGCGCCCTCTGCGGCAGTTTTACGGTTAGACTCCTTGCAGCTTCTGCTACTGAATAATTCATCCACATGACAGGATTCATTTCTGTTGGCGCTCCCCTCTCGCTGAGCCAGCTTTGCAGAAATGGAGGCTTGTCAGAAGGCAGTGATTGATTCTGGACGGACTGTTATGGGTCAGAGAATGACACGGTGTAAGTGGGAATTGTTCAGATCAGTGGACCATTATAAAAGGTGCAACATAGAGTTTAGAATGCAGTTATGCAGCTCTGTCACTGCATACTGTCACTGTTTACATCCAATAAGCTGCTGTTACAGCTCCACACTCAGCAGCTCTCTGTCATGTTGGCATGTCATTGGGTCGGTGGATTTGGGTTTGTCATCCAAGTAACACTTTCAGAAGTACAAGTACAATAAACCTGTCACAATAAGCAATTAAGCAAGTAATTGGATAATAAATATGACTGAGCTCAATATTTTAATTCTTAATGCATTCTATTTATGGTTTTGGTTGTGTTTGGGTTTTATTTTCTTATATTTTTTTCTTTCTTGATTTGTTTTTTGTTTGTTTTTTATGTTTTAAATGTCTTCCAGTTTCATTGAGGAGTGTTCTGTACAAAATTAGTGTTTATTAGACTTTTAGAGTTTGAACTGGAATTATTATGCCCTTATCTACAGTATTATCATTTATTGAAATCATTTCTGGGACATTTTAATGGTCAAGTGAAATGTGTTATTGTGGCAGAGGTATAGGTGTTCATTTGTTGCAAGATTTAAAAGTATATTTTTAATTTTCTACTGAAAATGTATTGTTTTGTAGCATTTCGTTATAAGACAGTACTCCCACATGCTGTATCATATTTCCAAATGCCGATCTCTTCCAGCTGTGCAAATCTAGAGTCTGAAACTTTCTGCCCATTGTTCTGAGCTCAAGTTCCACCAGATTGAATGGAGAACATATGTACCTGTAATATTTTTCTTTAGTTTTGCCATTGATTCTTGATTGGATTTAGGTCTGTACTTTAACTGGGCTGTTCATACACATGAAAATAATTTGATGGAAACCATTCCACCATATCTACGGAAGATAACCTCGAGCTCAGTTTATTTTTGCAACTTCCAACAGTCACAGCAGAGAAGCATCCTCCCAGCGTGACGCTACCATCGCCATGATTTGCTTTTGGTGTGTTCAAGAGGTTTACGTCTTCACACAGTAATTTGAATCTAGTTTAGAAAGTTGAGGTCTTATATTTTTGCTCAGCATTACACTTCCTAACCTTGTCTCTGATAATTTTATTTAGAGGTATCAGAACAAACACGCCTATACTTTTCAAACAGTGCATCCTGTTTTATGTAATGTGATTGAATGGAGGGGGAATGTTCCGGGTGTGTGAATAAATTGTTTACCAGCATCTTGGTAAACAATTTAAATTATTTCCATTATGAGAAAATACTATTTAAAATTTGAGCCAAACTTTTCAGACTGTGTGGTAAAGGACTTGAGACATGATGGGAGACAGGAAGCCGACAGTCCGCATCAGGTGAGAGGATCAGGTGCAAATCCGGACCCTGGTGGTTATTCTGCCCCCTGGATGCCTTGTTATTAACTTACACTTTAATTGAGGGAGCAAAGAATGGGACACAATGTTTCACACCTGTCACTTCACCTCACAGAAAGTCTGAACTTTAATATTTGATGCAATTCATCCAGAAAAATAAACTGGAGAGCAGAAGTTTTTGCATATAAACACGAATGTATAGAAGTATAGGTCAATGGGTTTTCCTATCTTGGGGTTAAATAATATACACAGAGTAATTTAAAGGATGCAGGATTTTTAAGTGAACACACAACTTAAATTAGAAAGCATAATGTCACCTTCCTAAAAAAATGGCCTAACTAAAATAGAATAGAATATACTTTGATTACCAAGTGTAAATTACTTTTACAAGCTGCTCCATCCAAGGTGTTAAAAATTGATAATACAAATACAATCATAAGTGATAAAATTTATAAAATATACCTAAGAATGCTGTAAGTTATTCAAATTTGACTGGATATACGTAAATAAATAAATATTTTGTCAAAAGAATGTTTTTTCTGTGTGTGTGTGTGGGTGTGTGTGTGCGTGGGTGTGTGTGTGGGGTTGGGGGGTAGGGTGGGGTGTGTGTGTGTGTAAATCTTCTTTTGGGAAGAAAGCGGTGACGATTCTTTTTCCCCCCAAATCATTTATGGCAAAACAATGACTTGGGGCATTATTTTAGGAAGGTGACAATATCACACTTTCAAAGGGTATTACTTATTTTCTCCAATATTTCTCATATATTTCTTCTGTTTGTCTTCCAGCTGTTACGAGAACTGAAGCACCCAAATGTTATCGCCCTTCAGAAAGTATTTCTGTCCCACAGCGACAGGAAGGTGTGGCTCCTGTTCGACTACGCCGAACATGATCTGTGGGTAAGTCTTTGTGCACCACTTCTGAAACTTGCAACAGTGGCGATGAGAGCCAAATCCAAACTCTTTGTACAGAAACAGTCATTTGATTCTATTTTTGTCTATAATAAAAAAATATTTTGTTTTATCTATAGATGTTTGAAAGATAAAGCTTTTTGTCTGTCACAGTAAATCGTTCCAGTGGCATCCACAGACATAGTGGGAGACATGAGGCCTTGGAAACTCAAACCATCTCAAACTTTGTTTGCTTTGCAGCATATCATTAAGTTCCACCGCGCCTCCAAAGCCAACAAGAAGCCCATGCAGCTCCCCCGAGGAATGGTGAAATCTCTCCTGTACCAGATCCTGGATGGGATCCATTACCTCCACACCAACTGGGTGCTCCACAGGGATCTGGTAAGCAGCTAACTTTGCTGCTTCTGTTTGCCTATATTAAACTGGATGGCTCCAGAATGGCTTCATTCTGGAGCCATTTCCATGTGATTAAGCAAGTAAATCTTCATCCATGGCTCTTATAAGACATTGGTAACAACTTGCTGTGTAGATAAACATTATTATATGCTTCATTTATAGAAATGAAAAGCAATTATTTTTTAAAAACAAGCTTTTAGTTGCTTTTTACAAAAAAGCCTGTAGGCCTGTAGGTGGAACAACCAGCAGACCTTGGTCACATGACCTGCCAAGGGCATAAAGTTTTGAAGTTTAAAAGTGTATAGCACTGGTTGACCATTCAAACGTTATCAGTAAGAAATAGGATGTTGATGTCAAAGTGTTTCTGTTGATGGGAGCCAGTGGAGTTGGATGAGGAGCAGTGTGACATGAGAAAACTTTCTAATGGCCATCAGTTATCCTCCATTAGCCTAAACCAGCGCTGCTGTCTCTGGATTAATGCTGAAACTTAAGAACCGAGTGGCTCTCCAGTTTGTCACACTGAATCAGCAGTCAGCAGAGATGTGTTTGTGCTACTGTGCAGGTGTTGTTATGTCCCAGTGTGTTCTATTATTAAAAATGAGATAGTGTGAAAGAGAGGGATTGTGTGAGGAGCAGAACGCCCTGAACTCAACAATCTAATCTGACTGCAGCACACCATTACTTACTGTGAGATTCTTCACTTCTTTGTTTTCCCACATGATTTCTTTTGTTGTTGTTGATGGGAAGTTACAGACTCAGACAGAAGCAACAACAATCCGTCAGGAGGAATCTGAAACTGTCGTGTGTGTGTGAGCTGTGAGTTGAGATTAATTTGTTCACAAGCTGAATTGTTGCATAAGGGTTTGTTGACCTGGACTGATGAGTGTAAATGTTGGCAGGAGTGTTCCAATGCTTCAGCTGGTAGATGAATGCAATAAAAATGAAATGTTGGGTTTAGAATTAGAAAAAATTTCACATAGATTTCTCCAGTAGAGTGTCTCAAAAATGTCAAGTTTGACGAGTTGAAGGACTTCAAATCTTGGACTATGAGGAATGTGTGGGCAGATTCTTGAGAAACAGAAACCCAGGCCTTTTAGGCAGTCTGCTTCAAAACCTTGGGGAAAAAAGAACATTTTCTGTGATCCCCTTTGGCACGCTTGAAAACTACTTTAGACATGCTCACTAGGGTTGCACCGATAAATTGGCTAGCCAATAACTTGACCCAGATTTCCTTAATTTTGGGAGATTGATGATCGGCTGATATTTCTAGCCGGTCTTTGCCAGTTTTTATCAACATCAGTAAAGGTCTAAAAATAGCGTCTTGCTCTGCTGTTGATAGAGGTTTTACTGATAGACAGATCTCTGCACGATTTCAGTTAATAATAGCCACCCCACTGTTACCATCTCAGAAAAGTTCTTGTTATATTTAGCAACATTTCAGACAAAAAAATCAGTATCAGCCAAAATCTGAATCAGAAAAACAGGCTTTTTAAAAATTTGTAATTGGGTTTCGGCCAAAAAAACTCCTATCGGTGCAGCTGTTGGTTTCCCTGCCGAAAGCTACAGAGACTGAGAGGAAAGGTTAAATAAAGTATGGCAGAGAAAACATGTCCTGTCGGTCTTTCCTGAAAATGTGAGCAATTCCAAAGACTTCTGAGACTATCTTAGTTCAAGCCAGTCTAAACGTTCTATTCAGAAATATCCAGTCCACTACAGCCTGATAGGAGGGTAGTAATTACAAAACCAGGACAAAACGAGAACAACCTGGCTCCGGCCCTTTTCACTTAATTATACAAGCTTCTTGTTTTTTTTTCCAGAAGTACAATAATAGCTTTGTAACTTTTTTAGTGTTGATCTAATCAGAGTTGATCTAATCAGATGTTGGCTGTGTTTAAACACTTGGTGCCCTAATCACAACATTAAGGTTTGTAACATATGATTGAATTTGCGTTCTGATATAGTCACAGCAGCCACAAAGTGTTGCTTAAAACAGTTGAAAACGTAACGCCAACTATGAGTTTCTGGTATAGCTCACAAAAATATTGTGGCCAAAAAGACGACAAAAATGTGGTTGTGATGGAATCCACTACCCTGAGGAGCAACAATTTGAATAAAATAAAAGGAGTTTTAGAATCGTGACAAATGTTTCCAGTTTCAGCGCTGATCTACTGGTACTGCTCTGGAGTTCAAGCTGCAGCTTGAAGTCATGTTTGTATTAAATAATATTATGGTAGTATCACAAAATATATTAAACGGTTTTAAATTAAATGCAGAATTTCTGTACATACCCTAATTTTCTTGTTCAACATGTTTCTCGTTGTAGATCTGATATAAAATTTTGTCTGAATGTGATTTTTCAGCGCTTGGTCAGATTCAGATATGAAATGTTTGTGTAGCCCTTAATGTTTGTAGACACTATGATGAATCCAATGTCTTTAAAACAACAAATTAAGATGTTAACTGTAAACCTCCTCAAAGCAGCTTCATATCTGACAGTCAGGTTGCAGATCTAAGTGTGTTACATAAGCAGCAGAACCAACAACCAAACACATCAGTGTTCTTGCAGCTTCTTAGCAAACCGATCTGTCACGTTAGATTAAAACAACAGGACTGGTCCAATTTGCTTTCGCTGCATCTCACATGTGACTGTACGCTGCAGACTCCCACAGCCCATCTGTATGTCAGCTCCCACGCTTCCATTTTCCTCTACAGCTGCCGCTCACAAAAAAGGCTGGTGTTGTCTTTCTACAATAAAAACTAAGCGAACAGAGCAGAGAACTTTAACTTGATTGGTGCCGTTGCTGATTTGATGTCACATGGTCAGAACAGCGGCTGTCTTTACGTAATTCCCAACAGACTGATATTACGCTTTGTGAGTTAAAACAGCTGAGCTGTCAGTTGTGGACAAGTGGAGTTCAGAGGTCAGCAGTTCAGGCCTTGGTCTGTAGATCTATTTCTGTTAACTTTAAATCAGATTTTGTGTGCATATCAGTAATCCATAATGATTGTTTTCTAAAATGTCTCATTGCTGCTAAACAAGCCCACACCATCTTTAACCTAAAAGGTTAAAGGTTAACCCTAAAAGGTTAAAGATGGTGTATTTAGAAAGAGTTTCTACTATCTTGAATATTTTACTATAGTTCAATTGTTCTCTTTGTTTGATGGTGGAATCATATTTAATGGCATTTTGACTCTTCCCAATTTGATGTCTGTCTATAGTTTCTTAGATTATACTCACTGGCAACTTTATTAATCACATCGTACTATTAGTTCTACCTTAACATAGAGGTAAAATGACACCTGAATCTTAAGGACACCTTGATTATCGTAATTATAATCATAAACATTACTTCCACTAACACTAAGGCATTATACCAACATGGTATTTAGCAGAATCTAAAGCTGAAGTGCTACCTGTGGCATTGTACTTCAGCAAATGATTCTTTGGATGCATTATTTTTTTATAGTTCCAGTTTTACAGTTGAGTACGTCAAACTCCTTTGCTTAGTTTGCCAAACTGACTACAATGGGTCTTTGATCAGAAAGCACTCAGCACATGAGTGCTGAGTGCTTTCAGCACTGAATGCATCACTGTTTCACAGTGATGCATTCTGGGTACAGAATCAACATCAGTTTTCAAGAACCTGTGAAGAGGAAATGGAACTGCTGCTTCACCCACAAGAAATGTGAATATAAACATCTAATCACTTTCAGAATTCTTATTCAAATTGCGAATGCGCTAAATGAAAAATTGACTCCACTGTTAGCTTCGCTGTTAGCAGTAAGCTCTGTTGTAGCCATAGTTTACTGTTTTTAGTTGACAGATGTGTCCCCTGGTGTCGTCTTCTGCTGCTGTAACCCACCTGCTTCAAGCCTTGTGCAGTCAGAGATGGCATTTTCATAACTTGGTTGTAACAGGAGGTTATTTTAGCTACTGTTGTGGTTATTTGTCATCTGGAACCAGTCAGCCCATTCTCCTCTGACATCAACAAGACATTTTCATCTAAAAAACGCTCCTGACTGAATATCGTAGACTTTTCAGACCATTCTCTGCAGACCCATCTGATGGTTATGTGAAAAAATTTCAGTAGATCAGCTGTTTCTGAAACACTCAGACCAGCCTGACTGGCACCAACAGCAACATTACTGCTACACCTAGAGAGTTGCTGGCAATGGATTGGCTGATTTAAACTTTGTACTAACAAGAAATTGAGAAGTGTACCTCATAAAATGTTTGATGAGTGCATTCTCTTTTTTTTTCTTGAACTGGACTGAACCGTGGTTTGGACTTCGTCTTTATGTGTAAACCGTAAAAACTGGCTAAACTGAAATTGCAGCCGGTCAGTAAAAACGAGCTGACTCTTAGTCTTTTGATATCCAGCTGGTGGGTTAATTAAGTCATCTGCAGATTCTAAAATTATCACAAATTCACCTTTTTTTAACCCTTTAGACTAATGTTTAAAATTAATTGTAGTTTATTTTTTACATTTAGGTGTTATGTTCTATACTCACCAGATAGATGTGTGTAGCCCATCAGAGGGTGTAATTCAAATAGCTTTATCTGACTTATTAGCTGCGCAGATAAATGCGCAATTTGACTGGTGCAAACCATAAAGACGACAGAAAGTATTTAGAGGATGATGGTATAGGATTTTTTTAATGACTTGTTGCATGAACAAAGTTATTCACATGTGATTTTAATTGTGTTTCTTATTTAGTGGAAACACATAATTACGAAAGTATGTTTTTTCAACATTAGTGGAATATTGACAAAGTTTTGCACTCATTTGTTATAGAAAGGCAGCTATTGACATGCTCAATCTCTGCCTCAGGCACAGACTTGATCAGAACTGGAACAGAACCGGTGTCTGTGAACAGTGGACACTGGTTCAAGCTTTTAGTGTAATTAGCTGTCTGGAACCGTGTTTCTAAATAAACAGGGATATTATGGTTTGGTTAGACTGTAGACAGGTCACTGTCGTCAT